GAACTAAAAGAGAGGTCTGCTAGCAGGTGTGTGTATGTGTCCAGAGACAGGGACAAGTGTCAGACCGCTTGGGTGCTGTGAGCAGAGGGAAGGGTATGGATGGGAAACCTGTAGTAATCGAGTGAAGGATTGAGGAAGAAAGAGGGTCTTTATTTCCCTTCTCCTCACCTTTCTGGACGCTCCCTGACTCTCGCCAGTCTCTCCACTGAGATCACACACCCTTCTTCTCCCAAACTCCTTCTGGGCAGACCTTTTCAGGTGGCTGTGAACTGCATCCTGGAGTTCAGCTTAGGTTTGATAACCACGGCAGCAGCCCTTTCTGAATCCCACCAGAAGTTGGGTCAATGCTGACAGCTTAGCCTCGCAAATCCTGCAGGGGGAGCTTCCTTCTCCCTCTTGTGCTTGTAAGGTACTTTAGGTGTCTAGATACGGTTGCTAAAGCAGATTTAAAAAACCATTAATAGAGAACGGAGACTTATCTTGCCTACTGGAACCCCTTTGACTAAAGCATAGTTGTCATATATATTAGCTTCACTTCTTCTGGAGTTTGTTAGAAGTGCTCTGTGATGCTTGAAATGCCTGAGCTAGTGGGAGGTGTCCCTGCCCGTAGCAGGGGGGTTGGAACTAGATGATCTTTAAGGTCCCTTCCAACCTGAACCATTCCATGATTCTATGAAATATGGTAGTGTGGGAAATAGATGCTTTATGGATCCTTCTCAGCTGGGTATCCCAGTCACTGGTTTCCCAGTTAGAAACACCAGAAAAACCAAGGGTCCTGCCTCAGAGTGGGAAGCGGAACCCTCGACAGCCTCCCCCACGCTCCCAGATACACTTGTTCAGTGATCTGGATTTTGGGGATGAGGCAGATGATACTGGAGATGATGAACTCACCAGTGAGGCTCCCTGGATGAGTCACCCAGCCCCGTGTCTCAGGACCTCAACGACTAAGAAAAAAAGAAGGGTCATTGTAATCGGTGACTCCCTTTCGTATGGTACAGAGGGCCCAATCTGTAGGCCGGACCTGTCCCATAGGGAAGTCACCTGCCTCCCTGGGGCCAGGACTAGGGACATACTAAATAAAACTCGCACCCTGGTTCAACCCTCGGACTACTACCCACTTCTGATATTTCAGGTGGGCCATGATGAGGTAAATACTAGAAGCCTCAAGGCAATGAGAAAGGATTTCAGAAGTCTGGGACAACTAGTCAAGGGATCAGGAGCACAGGTTGTGTTCTCCTCTATCCCACTAGTCACAGGGCAGGATGAAAGGATAAATAGGAAAAAACAACAGTTTAACTTATGGCTGAAAGGCTGGAGTAAAAGCCAGGACTTTGGATTCTTTGAGCACAGGCTGACTTACAGGTCACCAGGCATGGTTGCAGCAGGTGGGGAAAGCCCAAGCCAAAGGGGAAAAAGGATATTGGGACAGGAGTTAGCAAGGCTCATTGAGAGAGCTTTAAACTAGATTTGAAGGGGGACGGGGTTGGAACCAGGGTTACTAAAGTGGTGCCCGGGAGCAGCGCGGCAGTGCTATTAGGTAAAAGTGCCAGCCCTTCCAGAAAAAGAGTGGGAGAGTTAGCCCAGCTGAAGTGCATCTACATGAATGCACGCAGCACGGGCAACAAACAGGTGGAGCAAGAAAACGATGATCTAGTTGCCATCACAGAAACGTGGTGGGAAGACTCGCATAACTGGCATGGTTACTAAAGTGGTGCCCGGGAGCAGCGCGGCAGTGCTATTAGGTAAAAGTGCCAGCCCTTCCAGAAAAAGAGTGGGAGAGTTAGCCCAGCTGAAGTGCATCTACATGAATGCACGCAGCACGGGCAACAAACAGGTGGAGCAAGAAAACGATGATCTAGTTGCCATCACAGAAACGTGGTGGGAAGACTCGCATAACTGGCATAACAGTATTATATGCCTAGAACTCAGCAATCTGCATGATGCCAGCGTGGAGAATCAAGGGGAAGACCAGTAAGGCAGACATTGTGGTGGGAGTTTGTTACAGACCCCCAAACCAGGATCTAAAGGCTGATGAAGTATTCTATAGGCAGCTGACAGAGGCCTCACGATCCCTCTCCCTTGTACTCATGGGGGACTTCAACTTCCCTGCTATCTGCTGGCAATATAACACAGCAGAGAGGCAACAGTCCTGGAGATTCTTGTAGTGCGTGGAAGACAACTTCCTAATGCAGCTGGTGAGGGAACCGACTAGGGAAAGTGCCCTCCTGGACCTGCTGGTAGTTAACTCCGAAGGTCTTGTGGGGGATGTAAACGTTGGAGGCCGTCTAGGACAGAGTGATCATGAAATGATAAAATTTTAAATTCTTGTTGAAGCAAGGCAGGGAGCCAGCAAGACTGCCACCTTGGACTTCCGAAGGGCAGACTTGGGCCTCTTCAGGAGCATGGTTAAAAGTGTCCCTTGGGAGACAGTCCTTAAGGGCAAGGGTGCTCAGGAAGGCTGGTCGTACTTCAAGGAGGCACTCTTAAAGGTGCAGGAAAGAGCCATACCCAAGTCCCCAAAAAACAAGCAGGAAAGGAAGAAGAGCAGCCTGGCTAAATAGAGAGCTTCGGCTGGAACTCAGGAACAAAAAGAAGGTTTCTAATCTTTGGAAAAGGGGCCTGGCAGGCAAGGAGAAATACCAGGAAGCGGTGAGGATTTGCAGGGGGAAAATTAGAAGGGCCAAGGCTCAAGCTGAGCTCATCTTGGCCACTAAAGCTAACCATAACAAAAAGGGGTATTTTTGGTATGTAAAGAGGAAGAGAAAGATTAGGGATAATGTGGGCCCACTGATGAATGAGGTGGGCACCCTAGTGCTGGAAGACATGGAGAAAGTAGAGTTGCTGAATGCCTTCTTTTCTTCAGTCTTCACTGTTAGCACTGCCCCTCATGAATCTCTGGCCTTGGAGGCAAGGGGGCCGGTATGGATAGAGGAAATTTTTCCTCTAGTAGAGGAAGACCAGGTCCGGGACCACTTGGCCAAACTGGACATTCATAAGTTCCTGGGCCCTGAAGGGATGCACCCGCGAGTGCTGAGAGAGCTGGCAGATGTTATTGCTGGGCCACTCTCTATCATCTTTGAAAAGTCATGGACAAGAGGAGAGGTGCCGGAGGAAGGCCAACATCACTCCAGTCTTCAAAAAGGGCAAGAAGGAGGACCCTGGGAACTCCAGAGCAGTTAGTCTCACTTCTGTCCCTGGGAAGGTAATGGAGAGACTCATTCTAGATGTCATCTCCAAACAAGTTGAAGAGCGGGGGGTTATGGGAAGTGAGCAACATGGGTTTACCAAGGGTAAATCATGTTTGACCAATCTGATAGCCTTCTAGGATGCTCTAAGTGGTTGGTTGGATGAGGGGAGGGCAGCAGGTGTCCTCTACCTTGACTTCAGCGAGGCTTTTGACAGTCTCCCATAACATCCCCATTGGGAAACTAAGGCAGTAATGGGCTGGATGAGGGGACAGTGAGGTGGATTGAGAACTGGCTGTGTGACAGGAACTCAAAGGGTAATGATTAATGGAGCAGGGTGTGGAGAGGCGGGGGTCGCTCTCTTCTCCCAAGTCAGCGGCAATAGGACAAGAGGAAACGGCCTCAAGTTGTGCCAGGGGAGGTTCAGATTGGACATTAGGAACCGTTTTCACACTGCAGGGCTTATTAAGCACTGGCAAGGGCTGCCCAGGAAAGTGGTTGAGGCACAATCTCTGGAGGCGTTCAAAAGAAGGGCTGACATGGTGCTTAGGGGCGTGGTTTAAGGACAGGTTTTTTTTCTCAGAGTTGGGTTGATGGTTGGACTAGGTGATCCTAAAGCTGCCGTCCAAACAAGACGATTCTATGGTTCTATGAATCTCCAAGTCCCGTGAGGAATGCAAAGCAGAGGGCCAAGTGGTCAGCGGGGTCTCTGGCCAGCATGTGGCCCCGCTGCAGCTCTCTCTGTGGCGTCAGAGCCATGAGGTCAGAGCGTGCGGGGCCAGGCCTTTGTGAGGTCGTGCCCTGTGGGCCATAAGGTGTGGGCTCGCAGTGTGCTGCTGGCTGTGTGCCTGGGGCAGGCGTTCTCCTCGGGGCTGTCTCCAGGAGGGCTCTGCCCGCAGAGAGCAGGTGACGCTCGAGTGGCTGCAGGAGGGCACCGAGAGAGCTTCTCTTTCAGGAGAGCTTCCTTGCTCCCCAGGATGGGGAGGATAAGGGCTCCTGCAAGAGCCCCCAGCAGATGGGCCAGAGGCCCCTGGGCGCGATCTGGGCAGGGTCGGGGCACCAGGCGGCCAAGGCTCACACGCTGCAGGGCTGCAGCCAAGAAGGGTAAGTTGAGGGCTGCCTTTTTTCCGGCCATGCTGTCACCAAGGCTGCCTGGCTGGGCCGGGAGCCACGGCCCTGCACAACCAGCGCCATCCTGCCCCAAGGGAGGCCTGGGGCCACCTGGCCTGGCAGAGCGTGTGGCGCTGGCTCCCCTGTGCGTGCCTTGGTGGGATCCTGGCGGAAGGCCGGGGTCCCCCAGGACTGGGGCCACCCTCCCTGCCCTGGCACGCCATGGGTGCCCTGCCTGCCGGGGGATCCTGCCCGGCCCTTGGTACCCCACTGCCAGGGTGCCCCCAGCTGCCCCCCTCTCCAGGGCATCCCCACGGCCCTGCCCCCAGGGAGGGAGGCCCAGCACCCACCTCCCCGCTGGACCCGTGGCCTCAAGAAGGCTCCTCAGCTTCATCTCCGCTTGCTTCACACAGGAGAAGGCTTGCTCTTCACTCTGCTGCTGGCTGTGGAGTTTGTCCAGAGATGCCTCAGCACGGCCATCTCCAGCCTGTGAGTACAAGAGGGTGCAGGGGGGACACGGAGACGAGGGGTGCCAGTGGGTCGGGGTGAGCAGGGTCAGGCTGGTGGTCAGGCTTCCCACCAGGAGACCCTGGCTCCTCCAAAATCCCCGCTCCTCAGCTTGGAAGAGAAAGTGCCCCTGGGCAGGCAGGGCTCTGCCCTTGGCCACTGCTAAGCCCAGAACCCCCTCTTTGTCAGGAGAGAGACTGTCGCTGTGAACAGGAAGAGGCTCGTGGCGATCCTCTTGGTGATGAGCCTGGCTGCTCTCGGTGAGTCTGTCTGCTGCCAGCAGAGCACGGAGGCGGGGAGTGTGAGCTTCAGGGCGAGGGAGAGGAGCGAGCGGGGCCTTTCCAGCCTCCCGCCTCTGCAGCTCCAGGAGCTCCCTAGGTGCTCCCTGCAGGCGGAGCAGGGAGGGGAATGGGGCTGTAGCTGTGGGGCACCAAGCGTGCCCGGGAACCAGGGCTGTCCCCCTCTGCCCCGAGGCCCAGGGAGAGGGTCCCTGCTTGGAGCCACAACCTCTCTCTGCCCCCTTTGCCCATGTCCTCAGCCAGCCTCTTGCCAGCACCACGCTGGGGGAGAAGAATGGCGGGACGGCAGGGATCCTTAGAAACCCTCCTAAAGTAACTCTCTCTTGGGGATGTGCATTGCAGCTGCTGCCTGCTGGGGAATCGTGCAGCTGACGTGGAGGCAGCGGGCAGAGGATGTGCTGCAGGTGAGTGACTGCTGTTGTGGGACAGGAAAGGCCCAGAGGGGAGCCCCGCTGCTGGTGGGTGGGTACATGGCCCCGTCCTGGGCTTCCAGGCAGTGACGCGGAGAACGGGCAGCAGCTTCTGCCAGCCCTTCCTGGAGCCACCAGCTCTGGAAAGGCCCGGCAGCTCTGGGACTCCAACGGAGAGCTTTTCTCTTTCAGATTGGCTTTTCTGGTGGCCGCGTGGAACAATCTCCCTGTCTGAGGAACGAGGTCGTGTGCCTGGCTGATGAGATGGACACCATGAAGAAAGCGATGCTGCAGGTAGGGAAGGAGGGCTGGGACCAGCTGGGCAGTGCCCAAGGCCCTTCTTGGAGCAGTGGTTGGGCTTTTCCTGCTCCCCAGATGGGGCAGTGGAGGGTGGGGACAGCGTGCAGAGCTGCTGGCCAAAAGGAGAGCTTTCTTGAAAGCCCTGGCTGCGGTGCAGGGTATGGGATGTTTCCCTCCTTCCCGGCTCGGGAAGATGGCCGGGCGCTTCTGTCGGCTTCCCAACACGCCACTCGTTTCCAGCACAAGCACAGCCCAGCGGCGCGGTGCCGCCTGTGCTCGTGGCTCCATTGGAGCACAGGGGCCCCATCATGCCCTCACCTTCCGTGCTCTTGTCTTCTGCTTCCAGCCGGACGATTTCCCGACCTGCTGCTGGCCCTTCCAAGAGTCTGGGAGCGAGGTGCTGAGCTGGTTACCGGCACAAATACCTCTGCAGGCCGTCAGTGTGCAGCAGAGCTCCGAGAGAGCCTCTCCGCTGGGGACTGCCATCAGCGCCCGCCGAGATGTTGCTGTCTGTGTAAGTCTGTGCCGGGGGCTGGGAGCTGGTGGTGGGGAAAAGCTGTAAAGGGGACTTGCTGCTCTCTGCGCGGCTGCCGAGATGCGTGTGCTCCCAGGCAGTGCTGGAGCCGCAGGAGGTGGGTGCAGATGATGGGCCCAGGGCAGGCAGGAAGGTTTCCTCGTGGTCAGGTCGAGCCCGACCTCCTCCCCTGTGCTTTGTCTCCAAGGGCCTGGATGAGGAAGGCGAGGAGGCAACTCTGCTGGGGACGTGGAGCTGCAGCAGGCAGGAGAAGCCCCACCAGAGCTTGCCTCTGCAGGTACAGTGCGTGTGTGTGGGCAAGAGGCCAGGGCAGAACCGGCCGCTGGCCAGCAAGCCGCTTGGGGAAGAGATGCGGAGGGTCCCTGCTGGGAGAGGGGCCTGACACACAGAGCCCGCTCTGGCTCTGCACACCCCGCAGTGACGCTGATTTTTGCCATGGTTTCTTTGCAGAATGGGATCCCCGGCGCCTTTCAGCTCACAAATCCTGGCAATTGGAGCAGCTCGGGAACCCCAGCACAGAGGCTGATAGATCGGGTGCTGGCGATGGGGAAGATGGTGGGAAGATGGTGGGCGTCATTAGACCTGTTTTCTTCAATAAAATTTCCCGTGTAAAAAGGAGACTCAGGCCAGAGGGATGCGGCTGTTGGTCTGGTGCAGAGCAAGGTGGTCTCAGAGGCCCTCTCCGAGCTGCCAGCTCCTGCCTTTCGCAGGCAGAGGCCTTCCTCAGGCTTTGCGCTTTCATCCACCAAGGGCATCTTTCCTGACCCGGCAAAAGGAGACGACGCTCCTGAAGCCTTTCCCTGCCTCAGGTCCTTGGCAAAATCCTTTGTCACCAGGGTCGCCTCTGGCCCCTGTAAGGAGTCGTCGGAGCCTGTCAGCATCTGGGGCTCCTGATGGCCAGGCTCTGGCCCATTCCCTTCAGGGAACACGTTGGATCTGGGGACTGGGTCTAGTGGGGACCCACATGGTGCAGCCACGTCTGGGACATGCCTCCAGGAAAGGATGGAGATTCTCCTTTGCCCTCCTTTTGTTGCTACTCTATCTAGACAGACATTTTCTGGTGCTTTTTACAGCAGTAGCCAGATGAAGTTCTAGCTGGGCTTTGGCGCTTCTCATTTTCTCTTGGCGTAACCTCAGAAGTCCTTCAAAGCCCGGAAGCTCTCCTTTTGTCCCCTCCCCTGACTGCCAGCCAAAGCTCTCTGGTCAGCCAGGCCGGTCTTCTTCCCTGCCACCTTGTCTTTGGGCACATGGCAATAGCCTGCTCCCGCGCCATGAAGATCTCCTTGTCAGAAGCACCTGCATTTGGTCAAGAGCTCTGCCAAAGGGCACCAAAGAAGCCATCAGGAGGATGGCATGGTCGCACCCGCCACCATGTTCCGCTCTGCCACACTGTGCTCAGGGGAGAGCAGGACGCAGTCTCGGGGGGAACAGGCCAGTCCCTCTCCAGGCACTGCCCCAGCTGGGTCCTGGCCAGGCATGGCAGGGCCTGGAGAGACACAAAATGTCTGGGTGCCACTGAAGGTCCCAGGCGGGGAGAAGGCCTTGGAGCAGTGGCCAGGGCAGCGGCCGTGGTGGGGCTTGTGCAGGCCCCAGAGCTGCTGGGCAAAGGCCTGGCCAGGCCCCGGGAGCTGGAGCCGCAGGCAGGGAGGATGGACGGTGCCGGCAGGGCTGACTCTGCCCACCAGCCTGGGGACCGCACGCCTGCAGGCTGGCAAGGGGTCAGGCGGCCATCTTCTGTCCTGGCCTGAAGGGCGTGGCCATGACGTCCCGCCCAGGAGACTCCCGGCCCAGCTGAGGCTTGAGAGGGAAAAGTCTCCACCTTCTTGCCAAAGCCTGCTCTGATGGCCCACGGCAGGCAGAGACACCAGGTTCTTTGTCACTGTGTCCCCCCATCACGCTGCAGACTGCCACAGGATTTAGCAGGGCCTTTGATACAGTCTCCCACAGTGTCCTCCCGGAGAAACTGCCTGCCCATGGCCTAGATGGGAATACTCTGCACTGGGTTAAAAACTGGCTGGAGGGCCGGGCCCAGAGAGTGGTGGGGAATGGAGTCAAATCCAGGTGGCGGCCGGTCACGAGTAATGTCCCAGGGGGCTCGGTACTGGGACCTGTTCTCTTTAATCTCTTTATCAATGATCTGGATGAGGGGATTGAGTGCACCCTCAGTAAGTTCACAGACGACACCAAGCTGGGTGGCAGTGTCGACCTGCTGGAGGGCAGAGAGGCTCTGCAGAGGGATCTGGACAGGCTGGATCGATGGGCTGAGACCAACAGGATGAGTTTCAATAAGGCCAAGTGCCGGGTCCTGCACTTGGGTCACAACAGCCCCAGGCAGCGCTACAGGCTGGGGGCAGAGTGGCTGGAGAGCTGCCTGGCAGAAAAGGACCTGGGGGTGTTGGTCGACAGCAGGCTGAACATGAGCCAGCAGTGTGCCCAGGTGGCCAAGAAGGCCAATGGTATACTGGCCTGTATCGGGAACAGGGTGGTGAGTAGGGCCCGAGAGGTGATCGTCCCCCTGTACTTGGCACTGGTGAGGCCTCACCTTGAGTACTGTGTCCAGTTTTGGGCCCCCTACCATAAAAAAGACATTGAGGTGCTGGAGCGGGTCCAGAGAAGGGTGACAAAGATGGTGAGGGGTCTGGAGAGTAAGTCTTATGAGGAGAGGCTGAGGGAGCTGGGGTTGTTCAGCCTGGAGAAGAGGAGACTGAGGGGAGACCTTATTGCTCTTTACAACTACCTGAAAGGAGGGTGTAGAGAGATGGGGATCGGTCTCTTTTCTCAAGTCCCAGGCGACAGGACAAGAGGAAATGGGCTCAAGTTACGCCAGGGGAGGTTCAGGCTGGATATTAGGAAAAATTTTTTCACTGAGAGGGTTATCAGACATTGGAATGGGCTGCCCAGGGAGGTGGTTGAGGCCCCATCCCTGGAGGTGTTCAAAAGACGGGTTGATGAAGTGCTGGGAGGTATGGTTTAGTGATGATGCTCCTTGTTTGTTGTGTGGGTGTCTATTTTTGTCAGTTAGGTTGACGGTTGGACAAGATGATCTTTGAGGTCCCTTCCAACCTAGAAGATTCTGTGATTCTGTGATTCTGTCACTGCTGTTCAAAAGGAGACTGGACTGGGTAATCAAGGTGACTTCCCCAGGCATTCACACAGAAATCTCTATATCCTTCAGAACATCAGGAGCTGTTGTATACAAAAGATATAATAATTATTTTTAAAAAGTGATAACAGTATCTGATTAACTTTACTTGTCTTGGTCTCAGCTACTAGGAGGAATAGCTGGAGGGAATTTTGGGGTTTTTTTATTTGTTTCAGCTTGGTGTCTCTGACTACATACTTTCTTTGACATTCCTTTTTTTTTTTTTTCTTGGCAGTCTTCAGCAATATTTGTAGGAGTGGGAGTGTGGCATCATAGCATAATGAAAGCTTTATATCGTGTTTCTGAAGGAGGTTACTGAATTTCATTAGGGAAAGTCAATGGAATTTTTAACTACATTCAGTGCTTTAAAATTAATGCAATTAGCTCCTGTCTACAGAAACTTATTTAATCTCAAACAATTTTTCATAGAATCATAGAATGGTTTGGGTTGGAAGGGACCTTAAAGATCACATAATTCCAACCTCTCTGCCATGGGCAGGGACACCTCCCACTAGACCAAGGTGCTCAAAGCCCCATCCATCCTGGTCTTGAACACTTCCAGGGATGGGGCATCCACAATTTCTCTGGGCAACCTGTTCCAGTTTGTCATCGCCTTCATAGTGAAAAATTTCTTCCTAATATCTAATCTAAATCTACACTCTTCCATTTTGAAGCCATTACCCCTTGTCCTATCCCTACACTCCCTTATAAAAAATCCCTCCCCATCTCTCCTGTAGGCCCCTTTCAGGTACTGGAATGCCACTATAAGGTCTCCCTGGAGCCTTCTCTTCGCAAGGGTGAACAAGCTGAACTCTCTCAGTCTGTCTTCATAGGAGAGGTCCTCCAGCCCTCTGATCATCTTTGCGACCCTCCTCTGGACCCGTTTGAACAGGTCCATGTCTTTTCCGAGCTGCTGGCCCCAGAGCTGGATGCAGTACTCCATGTGGGACTAGTACAGCAGCGCAGAGTAGAGGGGCAGAATCACCTCTTTTGATGTGCTGGTTTTGAGGTAAGAAGTTTCAAAAATGTTTTAATGTTGCATTTATTGTTTCCTATGGAAGACAGAATAGTTGTTATGGTATATAACGTTGTTGGCAGAAGGGGAGGAGTCATCACAGGAGGAGAGAGAGTGAACAAATGGAGTACAGTGTTGAAGTCTAAGGGCATGCAGTGTTGCAATCAGGGACAGAAGATTCAAAAGAGCCTGAAAATATTTCCATAGAGCTTTTACTGCTAAATTTCAATGATTTGCTACCACTTCATTATCATTTTTCCCAGTGTTGCTTAGAGTTAAATTGAAAACTTGCTTGCTGTTATTTAAAGCTGATGCAGATTCCTCATCATGTATTTCATGGAGAAAAGGTGTGGCCTTTTAAATTCAGATGCTGTCCTTTATGCTATGTAAAGATTAGAATGGAAGAAGTGTTTGCAGCATGGCTTTCGGATGAGTACCTAATGGAAGCAAAGAGCTTCCCTGAGCGAGACAAGTGATTTTTCCTTCAACACCCACTCATTTCACTGTCTTCTGGGGGAAAAGAAAATTAAACATAAAGTGGAATAGGAAAGTGCTTATTTTGAGTACTCTAGAGAGAACCAAGGAGCTCGTTTGCAGATGGAGTTTAACCTTATGTTCCTTACTTCACTGTCACTCCATTTTTACTGTGAAGCTGTTCTGAGAAGCTTCTGCTGCATTTAATATTATGAAAATTGTAGTCTCAGTTGCACTGATATAAATTTGGAGTTACTCTATTGAAGCTTTTGCTAGACTAACAATTGTAATCCTTGGCTGCTGTGTTACTATATATGAATGTATGAAGCCTAATAGTTATTGACTTCTGTGAGCCGAAATAATTCCGGGAATGAGGAAACACTGCCTTTTTTGTCAAGAAATGTCAATGAAGACAAGGGGATTTTTGTACTTACTGGAAGAATAGGGTTAAAGCTGAAAAAAAAAAAAAAAAACCAGAAGTGAGAACTATTAAACAAACTAGGAAGAAGTGGCAAAAAACCAGTGTGCAATAAAATATGGAGGAGAGTGCAGAACCACATGATACCATGCCTAACCATACTTAGAACTAGCAACCCATATATCGATCCCTCCTCCCCCCGCCCCTTTTTTTTTAACATATTATCAAAGATATATATGAGAAAATACTTGCTAACAGAGCCTCATCAAATTTGCAAGTGGCAGCTCTATGGAGTCTGTTTTCTAGGAAGTGCTTCAGAACTAATTTATTGTATTTCCAAATGGGATTGCTCTGGAGACTAGGATTGGGCCTGTATTTATGACTAGAGATGTCTGCTGATTACAGCAGTAGAAGGAATACAGTGCTAATTTAATATTCATGTTTGGCTTCTAAAAAACAGGGCCTCAATACTTTGTGTTTACAAAAAAAACAACCCCAAACCAACAGAAACCTACCCCAAGGAGAGAAGCCTAAGGAAAAGAATAATAAATCAAACATAGCCAACGTCAGGTTGAAATTCGCCAGTTCGCTTTGTCTTGAAAATCAACATATTCTGTCATGAGGTGCTTGTAAGGGAAGGTTAAAATGAGATTGGAATGGAATGAAATTTTGAATTTATCCCTGCTTTAAGTAGGAGGTTGGACTGGATCACCTCCAGCAGCCCCTTCCAATCTAAATAGAATCATAGAGTCATAGAATTGTCCAGGCCGGAAG